CATTTTATTAAGTTAATCTTTGAAATATTACAGAGAGGCCCTTGAGAGGGCAAGAAATTACAAAAACAGAACATTACAGAGTATGGGCCCAGAATAAGGCCCATTACAGAGGGAAACATAAACATAACATGAAATAACAGTCTATGGGCCACTCGGCCCATCTCCTCTACAAAATCTATTTTTTTTAACCATATAAGCTAACTTAAAATTAGCAAACAACATGATTTGAGATTGGCACATTCCAATCTACATTATATAAATATGGAGGTTTGGAATAGAGAGGGAAAGGTATTCATTATGGAGAAGAGTGGTGGTAGGGAAATATGGGGTGGTGAGATTTGGGTGGGAGCCAAGGGAAGTTTCAAATTCCTATGGGGTGGGTGTTTGGAAGGGTATAATGAGTTTTAACCAGGATTTTAGAGGCCTGGTTAGTTTTAATGTAGGAGCTGGGTTCAAAGTAAGGTTTTGGGAGGATGATTGGGAAGTTGTGCGATTGGTGCCCAATATTGTAGCTGACTGATAATCGTGCCTCTGTAGCCCAATATTATGAAGTCAGCGGTGAGAAGGTGATCTGGAGTCCTAAGTTTAGAAGACCTTTGCGTGACCAAGAGTTGTAGGAATGCCTCATTTTGCTAGACAAATTGGAGCTTTCCAGAACCTCTACATCTAATGAAGATGGTCTGTGGTGGAAGGAGTGCAGAGATGGAAGGCTCACAGTGAAATCATTTTACCAGTCCTTAGTAAGGACTGTGCCTCCGATAGTCAGATAAGTGAATTACAGGGAAATCCAGTTCCCCTTAGAATTTGAAGCTTTTTCTTGGCTTACTGCAATGGACAGTAGCCACACTAAAGACCATCTAAAAGGGGGGGGGGGGCGTTGCTTGGCTAGCTAAGACGAGGAATCTGTACTCCACTTGTTTGTCTCCTTCCACTTGGCAAATTTCATTTGGAGGTTCTATTTTTTCATATTTGATATATTGAAAAAAGCTTACTCTTCAAAATTGTCTACAAAAGCTTGCTCTTCATATTTGGATAGCTTACTCTTCGAAAAAAGGATATATTGAAAAAAACCTTCCCAATAGTATGATTTGTTTTGAACCAACATATGGATTAAAAGTAATATAATTCTAGATTTTTCTGAAGTTCATTGAAATGGAGCTATTTGTCTTCCTCATCTTTGAATGAGTGGGATGTACCCAAGCCACCAAAGCTCCAAAATTGTCTACAAATTGAATGACTGATTGGTAAAGTAGGGGAATGCCTGGTAGCAGCATTCCCTTGCAATCCCCAATTTTTTATCAAAGTCTGATCTGAATCTGACAGATAAAATTCAATTAGGATCTGAGCCGAACTTGTTGACAACCACCAGTAGCATGTGAACATGTATATATGTTGAAACACTAAACCTAATAGGTTTGAATTTGGGTCAATGGAAAATGAAGCTACTGGTGGTGTTGTTCTTCCTGGGACCTTTAAAATTGGACATGTTAAATAAATTAGTAAATCATCCATTGAGGAACCCACTAGATTTGGTTTCTTAATAATTAAACAAAGGAAATGTTCATTTGGTAGGAGCAGTAGAAGCAAATAAACTAGAGCATACTCTTCAATCTCTAAAATGACACATTGAATTCTAGTAGCCAATTACATACCTCATAATGGCATTCCCATCTCAATCTCTTTGCATGTTGTTGTCTTACTACTTATCACATTATGGCTTGCTTAGATCATGAAACAACAAAAAGTCACTTTGGATTTATGGAACAAAATTCTAGAGACCCCTTCTCTTGTAGTGTATTTAATATTGTTTATTTCCAGTTTAATTTGAATCCTACTTACATGTCACCACCTTTTATACAACAACATACTAATATAATGCTTTAAAATGCAGTCTAAATTTGTTTTTCTGCCATCCTGTGCTGAAAAGACTAAAAAGCTAATAAACTATGAGATGTCTACTAAGTGGAGGCAGTGGAAGAATGAAATTAAGTCTAGAGGTTATGATGCCGACACTTCTGTAGAAGAAATAAAGGCCTACGTTCCAGATTCCCGTGTAGATAAAGATCAATGGGGTCGTTTAGTTGATTACTGAAACTCCGACAAAGGAAAGGTATAGACTAGATCTTACTGTGTGCTTTCACTTGTTATATTTGCTTCATTTAATTTGCTTTCTTTTATTGTTGTAGAGAATTAGCAAGATAAACAAGGAAAATCGGGCAAAACTAGACGAGCCTCACTGCATGGGAACAAAATCGTTTCCAAGGTCCATTGAGGAGGAGGTGATATGTGCATTAAAGCTTTATTTTGTTCCTCTTTTTTTAATTAAAGCAATTTTGTGACAAATTTTACAAATTTATTATTTAATTGATTTCACTATGATGTTAGACCCAAGCAAATAATGGGGTGCGAAGAGGACCAGAAAAGAAGGGAAGAGTCCATTGCCCGGGAAAGCATCCCTCTTCTTCCAAAACATCTAATGCTCCATCTCAGTCTATGGATCATGACGAATTAGTTGTAGGGCTAACAGAAAAAGTTAGAGTGCTAGAGTCTTTGCTTGTAGCCCTATGGAGCAAGATGCAAAGAAGGTCCATTGAGGAGGAGGTGATATGTGCATTAAAGTTTATTTTGTTCCTCTTTTTTCAATTAAAGCAATTTTGTGAAAAATTTATTATTTAATTGATTTCACTATGATGTTAGACCCAAGCAAATGATGGGGTACAAAGAAGACCAGAAAAGAAGGGAAGAGTCCGTTGCCCGGGAAAGTATACCTCTTCTTCCAAAACATCTAATGCTCCATCTCAGTCAATGGACCATAGCGAATTAGTTGTATGGCTAACAGAAAAAGTTAGATTGCTAGAGTCTGTGATTGCACCCCTATGGAGCAAGGTGCAAAGATATGAGGGGCAGTAAACCGCTTCATCAATCTTGAGGTTAGTCGAATAAATTTAGCGGAGTTCTTGCAGTCTTAATAATTCATCTATTAACTGCTTCTTTTCGAATTGAAAAAGTTCATTCTTATGGAGATTTCAAGCTAAATTTTGTGGACAGATTATCTTTATTGACTCTTTGCTTGAAATTTGCTTGAATTTATCTCTGTAGGCATATTTCATTTAAAACTGTTTTCCTATGCTGGCGGTCATGACTGCCGGTGCAGGCCAGCTTTATACAGAATCATTCTTCAGTGGTGTTTACTGGCTGTGAAAATTGGTGGCTCTCACAACCAGGGCAGTTGTGTAAACTCTCATGAATATAAATGTCAAAGTCAAGGCAGAAGTGCTGATTGCTCTTGGGACATGCAACATGGAAGCTGTGGACTTGTTTCCTGTTCAGTACCAGCAATGGCAAATTTTAATTAGATTATAATAACTTTACATGGTTGCATTTTATCATTTTCATAAATGGGCTTTTGAAATCCTATCTTCTTTCAAAATTTGCTTGATCACTCAGCTGCTTCAGAATCTAAAGCTGGGGATGATTTTATTCTTCATATTTATTGGCAGAAATTCAGTAAAAAGTATTGATGGGGGGTAATTTTTTGCAGGTGGCAATTGTGGGTGGAAAATTTTTGCTTTATCCATTGGTTCATTGATATTTTCTCCAGTTTATTTTCATTTAAGGTAAACTCTCCGTTAAGATGCTCTTGAGCAAAACTTACCTCAGTTTTCCCACAAAAAAAAAAAAACTAAAGTTATAATATTTTTTCTGCTCATCTTGAACTCTAACATTTATGCATTTCTTTCCAGATGGTTTCTTCTTCAAAATCTCCTGCTCCTCATCTTCCCTCTCTTTTGCACATCTGTATGTGTGTGTGTGTACAGCTTGATTTCACTCTAACTCGATCCATTCATGAAACAGGCACCAAAGATTCTCAGAGGCAATTCAACTCTTGCTACCGCATTTGTTGCATTAATTTGGTGTGTTTTGTTCATCGAGCACAAGGTCTCTTTGTACTGCTCCTATCTCATGCTTTATGCTGTCATACTGCTCTCTGCAGGTTCGTATTAATATTCCTGCTTTCTTCCAGGCTTTTTTCCCTTTCGACTAGTTAGAGACTTGTTGAAGTTTGACCTGCCATAGAATTCTGTCTTGTTCGTTGACTGTAGAGTAAAGTAGACAGCAAGAAGTAGGAGARGAAAGAAGAAAAGAGAGAAGAGAGAAAAGAGAGAAAGGCTGGTTCGAATTAGGGAAAAAAGTTAATCCCTTGATTCGGCCAGACCTATTATTATATTATTGACTTATTGAA